TGTGTGGCCTTTGTTTCAAGACAGCTTGCATTTATTTTCCAAAACAATCCCTGGTTTTCAGGGCTGGTAACCTGCAGCCTCTCCACTGCTGGCCCTTCCCCAGCAACAACCACTTTCAACTCTTTGAGCTGTTTCCTTTGTTGTTTTTTTTGTTGTTGTTGTTTTGACAGAGTTTCGCTCTTGTCGCCCAGGCTGGAGTGCAGTGGCACCGCCTCGGCTCACTGCAACCTTCGCCTCCCAGGTTCAAGCAATTCTCCTGCCTCAGCCTCCCGAGTAGCTGGGACTACAGGCGCCCGCCACCATGCCTGGCTAATTTTGTATTTTTAGTAGAGACAGGGCTTCTCCATGGTGGTCAGGGTGGTCTCGAACTCCCGACCTCAGGTGATCTGCCGCCCTTGGTCTCTCAAAGTGCTGGGAATACAGGCGTGAGCCACCGCACCAGGACTTGGCTGCTGTTTGTCTTTGAGACAGGGTCTGGCTCTGTCACAGAGGCCGGACTCCAGTGACAAAATCATCGTTCATTGCAGCCTCAACCTCCCTAGCTCAAGCGATCTTCCCACCTCAGCCTCCTGAGTAGCTGGGACCGCTGACCTCATGCCACCATGCCCAGTTGATTTTTTTTGTATTTTCTTAGAGACAGGGTTTTGCTATGTTGCCCAGGCTGGTCTCGAACTCCTGGGCTCAAGCTGTCCTCCCACCTCGGCCTCCCGGGGTGCTGGGATTACAGGTGTGAGCCACCGGGCGTGACCCTGAGAGTACTTTTATAATGTGACTTCTTTCTCTGTGTGCTGCCTTCTCCCGTCCTGTGTTCTGTTAGATTTATTACATTTTCCTCTGCAGGTGTGGAGGTTACACGAGCGGCTTTGGTCCTATCAATGGCTAACTTAGAGGTTTCGCATTGTGTTTTTAAGCCCAAGGCATCGTCTCTAGCCATCTCCTGCGCAGTGCTGGGAGTTCGGGGCCCCTCGCCTCCCCTCCCCTCCTCCTTGCGTGGTCCGCAGGTCCAGAGTTTGTGTTTCACTTTGTTTTTTCACCCTTGTCTCTGCTGGGGGCCCGCAAGCAGATCCTGAGACGAGGACTTGGAGGGACGGCATTTCTTGGGGAATTCCAGGAAGCTGGAGGCGAGGAGGGTGGGCAGGGGCCGGCCCGGGGCTGCGGCTCAGGTGTTCGCCCCGACACCGACACCGTGGCCTGCCCTGTGCGCTGCCGAGGTCTCAGGCAGAAGCTGCAGAGGGAAGGGAAAGGCGGGAGAAGCCGGCGCTCCAGGCCAGGGGAGCCCCCAGCTGCTGTGGCAGCACCTCGCCCACTTGTTGCAGGGCCCAGCCCTACAGGGTCGTGGGGTGTCCCCTATCACTGTGCTGAGGCACTAGATCCGAGAAACAAAGAGACAAGACACCAAAGGACTAGAAAAGACAGCTGAGGCCGGGCTCGGTGGCTCAAGCCTGTAATCCCAGCACTTTGGGAGGCCGAGGCGGGTGGATCACGAGGTCAAGAGATCGAGACCATCCTGGTCAACATGGTGAAACCCCGTCTCTACTAAAAATACAAAAAAAAAATTAACTGGGCATGGTGGCGCGTGCCTGTAATCCCAGCTACTCAGGAGGCTGAGGCAGGAGAATTGCCTGAACCCGGGAGGCGGAGGTTGCGGTGAGCCGAGATCGCGCCATTGCACTCCAGCCTGGGTAACAGGAGTGAAACTCCGTCTCAAAAAACAAAACAAAACAAAACAAAACAAAAACAAAAAAAAAACTCTTGTCCTGGTCTAACTGTTTTTCCCTTAAATCATACTCTGCACTGTGTCTGCTCGAGACATTCCTCCGACTATACAATCACATGTATATCTGTATATGGAAATGACTGAGTAGTAAGAATATTCTTCAGGCACTGATTGTTCCGACTACAGATAATATGTGATTATACATAAAGGATGATATAAAGGAAACGGCTGAGGAGTAGCACTATAAACTAAGGTATTCTTCAGGCACTGACTGTGTGGGGGGTCTGCTTAGCTCTCCCTCCTCCCTGCCCAGAAAGGGGGTTACCCACACTCGTCTGCAGCTGGGTCCTGCTGCCAACCTCAGCCCTCAGTGCCAACCTCATGCCAGTGGGGCATGTGGGGCTCGGGGAGCCGATGTTCCCTCCGGTTTGGATCTTCCAGCCTGGGGTGGAGGTATCAGCCCCTCCTCAGGAGCGGTGAGCAAACGTGCAGACGCGGAAACTTCAGAGCAATGGAGATCAAACTTCAGGGGCCGCCTGCCTGGATGTCCCCACCAGGGCTCTGCCTGCTCTGATGTAAGTCCTGGGCTTGGGCCTCCGAGTCACTGCCCTCCCGCTGCAGAGTGGAGAGCAGAGATGCTGCCTGGAACCGCAGAGGGCCCTGATGCCACGCCGGGTTCAGCTCTGCCTTCCAACTGCCCCCTTCTCTCCTCCGCCACTTGTAGCCTCGATCGGTGGCAGCTACCTGGTTCGCCCCTCTTCTCTTCCAACTCACCACCATGAGTGTAACAGGTGACACGCAGGGACGGGTGTCTTCACCTCCCGCTGGTGCCTTGTTGCAGCTTGGCAGCGGGGGGCCACCGCCCACATGTCATCATGTCACAGGTTGTGCCCCCCAGAAGGAGTTTGTGATAGGAGCTCCCTGTTAGGGGTCAGCCCCTGCCACAGGAAAGGGTCAGCAGAACTGGGCAAAAGGGGCCCCAGCCCCCACAGGGGCCATCTGAGTCCTGCCCGTGGTCACAGGGACCACGCTGTGCCCGTGTGCCTCAGCCGACATGGGCTTGCAGTGAAGGCTGCTGCCCCAGAGTGTGGGGGTCTCCGTCTTCTCACTGCAGAGCCCCAGTGGCAGTGGTGATATCTGCGGTGGCCCTCGGTGGTCTTTGGGTTCTCCAGAGAAGCAAGAGGGTATGTGTGTGTGTCTGTATACATAACGGCACAAGAGAGATTCTGAGGAACTGGCCCGTGTGGGCAGGTTCGACAGGGAAGCTGCAGGGAAGAGCTGATGTCGCAGCTCCAGGCTGAGGCCGTCTCGGGGCAGAATTCTTTCTTCCTTGGAGGATGGGTCTTTTCTCTGAAGGCCCTCAACTAACTGGATGAGGCCCCCCTACATTCTGGAGGGTCATGTGCTTTTCCCCAAGTCTACTGATTTAAATACTAATCACATCTATGAAACACCTTCGTCCAGACAATAAAATAGTACTCAGCCTGTTTTTTTTTTGAGGCGGAGTTTCGCTCTTGTTACCCAGGCTGGAGTGCAATGGCGCGATCTCGGCTCACCGCAACCTCCGCCTCCTGGGTTCAGGCAATTCTCCTGCCTCAGCCTCCTGAGTAGCTGGGATTACAGGCACGTGCCACCATGCCCAGCTAATTTTTAGTATTTTTAGTAGAGACGGGGTTTCACCATGTTGACCAGGATGGTCTCGATCTCTTGACCTTGTGATCCACCTGCCTCGGCCTCCCAAAGTGCTGGGATTACAGGCTTGAGCCACCACGCCCGGCCTAGTACTCAGCCTTTAAAAAGAAGCCTACCCTGGGCCAGGCGCAGTGGCTCACGCCTGTAATCCCAGCACTTTGGGAAGCTGAGGCAGGAGAATTGCTTGAGCCTGGGAGGTGGAGGTTGCAGTGAGCCAAGATCTAACCACTGCACTCTAGCTTGGGCGACAGAGCAAGACTCGGTCTCAAAAAAAAAAAAAAAAAAAAAAAGGGAAAAAAAGCTGCGTATTTCTATCACACGCTCCACTGTGGATGAAGCTCAAGGACATTAATCCAGCCACAGAAAGACAGTGTATGATTCCACTCCCAGGAGGTCTACGTAGTTGAATTCTTAGGAACAGAAAATAGAATAGTGATTGCCACAGGCGGGGGCAGGTAGAAGGGGGACCTGCTGTTTAAGGGGTGCAGAGAGTGAGTTTCAAAGGCTCTGGAGCTCTGCTGCGTGGCCAGGTGTGGCCGTGAACACCACTGCACCTGCACCCGAATGAGGCTGAGGCGTGTTCTGATTGTTCCAGGGTTTTAGATGTTTTCTTGTGGAGAATACCCCTTCAGTGATCAGTAGACACAGAAGAAGGAAAATAAAGACTGGATGCCTCTCAGGTCCCAGTGGCACAGGGCGTGTCCAAAGGCCACACAGAGGCCAGTCAGCACAAGGAGAGGGGGATACAGGGCAAGGGCCCCGACTGCTGCTTTCACTGCCTCGTGGGTCAGGGCAGAAGGCAGGTGGAGAGCAGAGGGGTTGACGGTGGCCGTGGCCGGTGTTGCCTTCGCCAGGCCCCGGGAGAGGGTGGGGGGTGTCGCCGCCGCTTTAAATTGGGCTCTAGGGGGGTCACAGCTTTGAGTTTAAGTCGTCAGGCCACCGGGATGTCTGGAACCTTCAGGGCTTAGCCCAGGAATGCCGGAAGCTAGAGGTCTGGAACAGGGGAGGCAGAGCCTGCTGTCTACCGGCTGTGGGAGTCGTTGGGGTTGGCGCTGGCCCAGGGCCACGAGGTCCGTGCAGGCCCCTGTGTCTCTGGACCTGGCTGGCCTGCACCTGGAGACCCGGAGCCAGGAACGCAGGGTGGGCTCTGGCCGGGGTCTGCTGCTCCTTCCATCCTGTGCCCCTGGTGGAAGGTGCTCAGTGCGTGAATTGTCCCCTGCCCCAGCCAGGGGGAATCTGAGGCCAGGGAGCAACCAGGATGAAGGGCAGGGCCTCCCTGGGTGCCACCGGACCCCAGGCCGCCTGTCCTCCAGCCCCGGCCCGTTTGGCTGGAGGTGCCCTGGGCTGCTGGCCTGCCCTCCTTAGCATCAGTCTTGCAGTCTCAGCAGCTGGCCTGCGTCTCGGTGGGAGGCATCCTGTGGCTTCAGGTTTTCTGGCAGGCAGAGGCTGGGCTGGCGGGGGACACTGGCCGTCAAGGGGCCAGCTGGGGGCAGGTGTGAGTGTGACCCCGAGTGCGGCCTGCACCTGCAAACCTCACACCCCTGCCTGGGTGGGGTGGGGTGGAGCTGGACCCTGGCTTTGGGAGCCTGGTGGGAATTAGACCCAGGGTGGGCCTGAGGAGGAAACACATGTGCAGGCGTGAGTGCCACCGTGGCATGGCCTTACTGACCAGCCCGGGCACCAGGCCCCCTCGGGAGCCAGCTTTGCTGTTCCGAGTGGAAGGGAGGTCAGGTTTCCCTGAGAAACCCCAAAATAGCCCCCAACTGTGCCTGGCCTCCGGCGGGCAGCCCAGCCCCCAGGCCACGTCTCAGTTGCCGCCTCCCCCCAACAGCCCCAGCCCAGGGCCTGCTGTATCCTGGGGGAATGGTGGTCCCCCAGCCCCTCCTGTATAGGGAGGCCAAGGGGTGCCTGATGTTCGTTCAGCCTGTCCTTAGAGTTTGTGACGTGCTGGCCCGTCCTGTGCTCCCACCAGGATGGTAGGAGGGTGGTCGGCTCTGAGCCACTGGGCACCATCTGGCCAGGTGGGCCTTCAGCAAGAAATCTCACTGGCAAGGGATGACAGCCCGGGAGCAGGGTCCCGTGAAGACTTGCCGGAGGGCCCAACCTCTGGGGAGGTGACTCAGAGGTTGGTCCGGCGAAGAGGGAACAGCGAGGGGAACAGCGTGTGTGAGGCCCCCACGGCTCAGCCCTTTCCTGCCTTTCAGGGTCAGGTAAGCCAGGCCAAAGCGGGCTGGGAAGGGGCCCTGTGGATGAGGCCAAGAGCCTGTCCCCAAATAGGGCCAGCAGGATTTCCCACCATAAAAGGCTCTTGGAATCTGGACCCCAGGGACCCCAGGCAGCTAGGCCCAGCTAAAACTCAGCTGCCATCACTGGCCCAGCGCTCTGCTCATAGCAGCTGTGGGGCCACCACCCTGCAGGGTCCGGTCACACAGCCACCGCCATGGTAAGGTTGCTCCCTGTGCTCCACAGAGCCTCTGGTGGGCGGGCTGGGTGGGTTGAGCTGGAGCCTGGAGGTGTGAGGATCTGCCCGGGAGTCTGGGCAGGAAGGGGCTGAGGGGGAAGAGGGGGCCACACCCTGCTGCCACCAACACAGCCTTGTTCTGGGGCCAGGGCGGAGCAGCCGTCTCTGGAAGCTGGGTCCCAGGCGGGAGGCAGCAGTGGTGGCAGGCAGGTGTGGCTGGTGCTGGACTCTCCTTCCAGAATGTCACACAGCTGAGCCGGGGGCTCCGATTCCTGGGCTGTATTAGTTCGGGGCTGGAAGCCTTTCCCAGGCGGGGGCTGGGCTCCTCCCCACACTGCTCTCAGCTTCCTACACCTGCCTCACCTGGTGTCCACTGCCAGGCTCCAGGGCTGCAGACTTGCCTGCCTGGCCCTGCAGCTCCCACTGTTCCCTCACATGCTGGCCCCTGCCTGGCTGGCCCTTGCCCCTTTGAGCTGCCTGGCGGAGCCCTGCTGGCCTGAAAACCCCTGGCATGCGGCCCCTTGTCTGGGAAGCCTGCGCTGAGCTGGGGCCTCGTCTCCACCACTCCCCTGGCAAGGCTGTCTATGGAGGAATGCGGGCAGGGGGCACCTTCAACCCTTCCCTGGACACGGGCAGAAGGGGCTCCGGGTGAGGCCGGCGTGGGTGTCCCCTGCAGGCGGAGCGCCTGTCGGCTGAGCAGATCAAGGAGTACAAGGGCGTCTTTGAGATGTTTGACGAGGAGGGCAACGGGCAGGTGAAGACCGGGGAGCTGGAGCGGCTCATGAGCCTGCTGGGCATCAACCCCACCAAGAGCGAGCTGGCCTCCATGGCCAAGGACGTGGACAAAGACAGTGAGCCTGCACTGGCGGGGGGCGGGCAGCCTCGGGGTGCGGTCCTGAGTCAGGTCTCAGTGCCCATGAGGGGAAGAGGCAGAGCCCATGGGCAGTGCTGCGCCCCACCACCCCTTGAGCCCCAGCTGTGCTCCCTGCAGACAAAGGGTTCTTCAACTGTGATGGCTTCCTGGCACTAATGGGAGTTTACCACGAGAAGGCCCAGAACCAGGAGAGTGAGCTGAGGGCGGCGTTCCGCGTCTTTGACAAGGAGGGCAAGGGATACATCGACTGGAACACACTCAAGTAGGGCCCGGGTGGGCGGTGGGCGGCAGGCGGACACGGGCAGGGCCAAGGCAGTGGCTGAGCGCCAGGTCCCGCAGGTATGTGCTCATGAACGCAGGGGAGCCCCTCAACGAGGTGGAGGCGGAGCAGATGATGAAGGAGGCCGACAAGGATGGGGACGGGACCATTGACTACGAGGGTGAGTGGGCTCCAGCTCCGGGGGCTGCTGGCTGGGCCGGGGCAAGCTGCTGACCTGCCCCTCTGACCCCAGAGTTCGTGGCCATGATGACCGGAGAGTCCTTCAAGCTGGTCCAGTAGGTGCAGCTGCTGCAGCCGTGGGAGGCCTGCCCGGGAAGGCCACCGCCCCTGCCGCCTGTCCACCGGCTCCCCCAGCTCTGTGTAAAATAAATGTTCCAGCCCGACCTGTGTGCCTCACTGTCTCAGCCTGGGGTGGGGGGGCAACGGGCAAAGGCATGAGGAGAAGTTTTCCTGGCCCGGCCACGGGAACACAGCCCCAGTCACTTCTGCCACGACACCTGACACCACTCATTGCCCAGCTCAGGGCTAGGAATGGCAGGCTGAAGGCTGGACGGGGTACAGGTCAGAAACCACACGCTCGCCCTGCCTGCTGGCACTGGGGGTTGGCTGCCCAAGGGTTCCTCCCAGAGCTCTGGAGTCCCAGAGTCTTTCCCACATAGGCAGAGCCCACTTAAATACAAACTTTATTCTCTCTCCATTCTTGGAGAGATGCAGATGTCACAGCTGGCCCTGAGCTCCCACCCCAGGCTCAGGCCCAGGGGGCTTCCTCCAGGCTGAGAGCCTGCCGGGGCTGGGCCAGGGGCCGAGGCTGAAAGCGGCAGCCTGCCTCGGGGGTGATGCCACAGGCCGGCTGGGCTGGCTGGCGGTGTAACACGGTACCAAGGCTGGGCCACAGCAACGATCTGGATGGTGGCGTGAGCTCCAAGTGCCAGTCCTCCGAGCTCTGGTCTGTTCTACTACCTCCTTCAAGGGGCACCAGGGCTACAGGGTGGGTGTTGGGTATTGGGGCCTGATTCCTGGGGCATTGGAGTGGTCTCTAAGCCTGAGGCCCCAAGGGGAGGCCTGGGTTTCCGGGAGGGTGCCGGCCCTTCCTCTCTGAGCTTGGCCATCTTGACAGCTTCATCGTAGGAGGGTGGAGGCTCCGGGGCGTACAGGCTGTAGGCAGGAGGAGCCATGGAGTCGGGGTCCAGCTCCCCGAAGGGCGGGGGCAGCTGCGTGCCCAGTGGGTACTGCATGGAGCTGTAGGCTGCAGGGAACCAGAGTGGGTTTGTGGAGGCGGGCTTGGCATTTACCCTGATATCTCTACCCCCACCAGGCGGGCCCCCAGGCACTCACAGGTCACAGTGCTGTGTACAGGGCTGTCACTGTCCATAGGGATGACCGCCAGGTCACAGGGCTGTCGTGCTGCTGGCAGATGTGGCCGGGCCTGCACCTGCTTCCGGAGGCAGCAGAAGCGGACACAGCCAGCTGTGACCCCGCACAGCAGCAGCAGGAGGACTGTCAGCAGGACCAGCCTAGGACAGCAAGTCCCCACCACTGGACTGACCCTCGGCCACCGGGCACCTGCATCCTGGGGAATGTCATGGCACAACCACCCAAGACAGGTTAACAGGATAAAAAGCAGAGAAGGTCTCTCCACATCGGAGGCCGCTGTGGCCAGAGCCTGGCCTCTGGCTGCTGGGCCTGCCCTGGCTGTCTCTCCCAGGCTGGGCAGGGATGGCCTTGGGCTCACTCCCAGGGCGTGCTGCCCTCAGCGGCTGCCCCACTGCTGACCGGGATCGCGGGGGCTTCCCGTGGAAGCCAGGCGGGAGGCGTGGGAGGTAAGTCCTGCTTGCTCGAGGCCAGTTCCCGCCAGTGGCCGGGAATGGGTGACAGCGGAGGGAGGTGGCCTCTTGAGGTAAGGGCTTGGCGGGCGTGGCCTCGGTGACCCCCGCCCCAGAACCGTCGGACGCACGGCTCAGCCGCGGCCTCCACTTACCCCACGTGCCACAGGCTGCTCCAGCGGGCTTGGGGCGGGCACCTGCGGAGACGGCGGCACCTGGAGCAGGCGGGCACGGGCTTGCCGACCACGCCGCCCGCGCCTCCCCAAGGGTGGGGCCTGGCCCCGGCTCCCTCCCGCCCTGACTTACTGGTCCGAGGGGTCGCAGCTGCCGTTCGCGAAGCCCAGAGCCACCTGTGGGGACAAGGGTGAGCCCGGGAGGGGCGTGGTCCGAGTACGGACCCGCCCCACGGTGGCCGAACCGAGAGAGGGCGCGGCCCGACCCACCTGCGGCAGCGGCAGGAGCAGCAGCAGCAGCCGGAGCCCGCGGGCAGCCAGCGGCCCTCCAGCCATGCTCTGCGGAGGTTGGAGCAGAGCCCGGCGGCGAGGCTTTATGGGGCCCCGCCCACCACAGGCCACACCCACCACAGAACACGCCCACAGGACGCCCCCTCAGCGCAAACCCCGCCCACCGGGCCTCGCTCGCTGCAGGCCCCGCCCACAGGAGAGCACGCCTACTGGACGCCCCACGCGGCGTAAACCCCGCCCACCAGACCTCGCTCAGTGTGAGCCCCTTCGCCGCAGGCCCCGCCCACAGGAGGCGTCGCCCGCAAGACGCCTCCACTCGCTGGGCCTCCTCTCAACGCAAACCCCGCCCACTGGCTCGCGCCCACCACGCCCCGCCCAATGCAAGCCCCTCCCACTGGGCCACGCCCAGCGTGTTGCGAGGGCTCCTAGGTCGCAAGCCCAACTCCGCAGCTCCACCCGCGAGGCCATGGTGGGCGGGGTTCGCCCTCAGCCCGGGCACGGCGCCCGCACCCCGGCCGAGCTCGGCCTGCTTTGCCGCTGGTCTGGGCGTGGCCCGGGGGCCCGCAGGAGTTGGCCTAGAAAGTCGTGGCTCCCTTGGGTGTGGTTCCTGGGGTCCAGTCTCGCAGGCAGGCTCCAGGTGAACCGGAGGGTCTCGCCACCAGGACGCTGGGCGTCCCGAACGCGGTGATTGGACACTGATTGTGCACCTGCGCTGCAGGCACTGCCTGGGGGCTGACCCTCGAGGCTGGAGCCTGGCCCTGGCGGCGCTGGGTGCAGACCACTTTCCCACAGCACTTGGCCTTGGGGACCATGCCCCACCTGGGGAATGTGGCCTCCATTCCCATTCCCTCAGCCTGCAATGCCTGCTGCTCACTGTGCCAGGGGCCATTTCTTTCAGGGGACCCTTATCCCTCTGCTGCCAGGCCAGGGCCCCTGTTAGGCTCTTGCTGCTCTCTGCTCCCTTTGGGACTAGCAGCACACCATCTGTCTGGTAGTCAGGCTAAGGGAGATGGTCAGCACAGTAAGGGGTAGGGTCCATCTTACTGCAGGAGGAGCACCCACCCCTTACTCAGAACACGTTCCATGTGTGGGCGCTGCTCAGTGTCCCCACCCCGACAAGGGCAGTGACCCTGGAGGGCAGGGCCTCCTCCGAGTGGATCTTCTGCCCACACCTGCCCTTCACCGCCTCGCTCCCTCCACTGCTGGGCTCTGCCCGAAGCTGCCTTGCACCTCCCAGGGCCTGTGCCACGGCCCCCAAGGGCCCTTCCTGCCTGCCCAGTGTGGGTAACCTCCCATATAGACACCAAGGAATGAGAGCTAAGCAGAACCCTGGCACAGTTAGGGCTTGAAGAATATCTCACTTTATAGTGTTACTACTCAGCTATTTCCTTTTATATAATCCTTTATATAATCATAGTTTATACATTTAGGGCTTGGGTGCCGGTTGTGGTGGCTCATGCCTGTAATCCAAGCACTTTGGAGGCCAAGGCAGGTGGATCACCTGAGGTTGGGAGTTCAAGACCAGCCTGACCAATATGGTGAAACCACATCTTAAAAAAAGAAAAAAGTAAAAAAAAAAAAAAAAAAAAAAAAGGAATTAGGGCTTGAAGAATCCCTTTATATAATCCTCTCTATATAATCATATAATAGTTGATAGTATGAGTGCCTAAAGAATATTTCCCTACATATGTATAATTATATCTTAGTTCATAATCGGAGGAATGCCTAGAGTGGACACAGTACAGAGCATGAATTAAGGAATAAGCAGCTTATAATCGGAGGAATGCCCAGAGCAGACACAGTGCAGAGCATGATTTAAGGGAAAACAGTTACACCAGGACAAGATTCCATGACCCAGGCGGCAGCATTCAGTATCGTAAAGATACCCGCTGTGTGGCAGGCTTGGGGCGAGAGCCACTCCTCCTGATAAAGGAGTTGTAGGACCCTGCTCCAGTTCTCGTGGAAGGCTGCCCTCAGACCCGCAATCCACCTTGGTGACTGTGAACTTTATCAGCTCTTGCTACTGTGCTGCTCGAAAAGCATCTTCCCATAGAAGCCACTGGAAGCTGCCAGAAGGTGGCGGTAACCCTGATAGCTCTGTCACTGCTGTGTGACTTAAAGCATCCTCCTATGAATCTTCTTAGAAGTAGTTTTCCCGGGCCGGGTGCGGTGGCTCAAGCCTGTAATCCCAGCACTTTGGGAGGCCGAGGCGGGTGGATCACGAGGTCAAGAGATCGAGACCATCCTGGTCAACATGGTGAAACCCCGTCTCTACTAAAAATACAAAACATTAGCTGGGCATGGTGGCATGTGCCTGTAATCCCAGCTACTTAGGAGACTGAGGCAGGAGAATTGCCTGAGCCCAGGAGGCGGAGGTTGCGGTGAGCCGAGATCGCAGCGTTGCACTCCAGCCTGGGTAACAAGAGCGAAACTCCGTCTCAAAAAAAAAAAAAAGTAGTTTTTCCACAGACAGAAGTATCGCACACTGCACCCTCTTCACTGCGCACGGCCCACCTTCTAGCCTTGGTGACCTAATGGGTGTGGATCCCTTACTGCACACGGCCCTTGCCTTCATGGGAACGGGCTCCTGGCCTAGGTGACCTAATGGGGGTGGACCCCAAGTTTTATTGCTCACGATCCTATCACTATCCTTAAAGATGATTTCACTCACTGCCCTGCTCCCAACCTATACACAATAAATACTCAGGCTTCTGGACATTCGGGGCCTCGCCTGACTCTGCTTATAGGTGGCGTGGCCCCCACCGAGCCCAGCTGCGTTTTCCTTGTACTTCTGCGTCCTGTCTCTTTATATCTCGGATCCTGCGCCTCAGCACAGCATAAGCCTCACCCCACGACCCTGTGGGCCCTCAGCCCTGCAGCCCAGCTCCCCACGATCCTGGCTGAGTGCGTGCGGCCCCTGGCCATTCTTCCTGCTGGTTGTGGAGGCCCAGCTCGGGAGGGGTCAGGGGAGAGCATGTGCACAGGCGCATACTGAGGCCACAGCCCGGAGTTCTGGAAGGTGAATACTTGGCTCCCACGAGGGACCCTACAGAGGTCCCCCACGCAGGATCCCCATGCGGGACCTCATCACTCAGT